TGCTCTGCCTCTGTTATCGCCTGAACCCCTGGGCTGCAGCTACGAGGTGACTTCTACCAAGTACACGCGGGACATCTACAAGGAGCTGTTGATCTCACTGGTGGCCTCGCTCTTCATGGGCTTCGGCGTCCTCTTCCTGCTGCTGTGGGTCGGTATCTACGTCTGAGGCCCGGGCAGAGGAGCACCGGTACCGCCTTGTGAATCCCCCTGTGGCCGTAAGCTCCCCGAGGTCTTCGCGCTACGCCCGCGCCTGGGTGGTGGTGGTGGTGGTGGGGTCCTGGAAACGTAGCCCCGCGACAGCAGCTCTTCCCGAAAGCCACCTTGCTTCGGGGGCAAAGTTAGGATGCGCAAAAGGCTGTGGCCTCACCCCAGCAGCAGCCTTTGGGCTCGAGCGTAGGGGCAAAGTTAGGATGCGCAAAAGGCTGTGGCCTCACCCCAGCAGCAGCCTTTGGGCTCGAGCGTCGCGGCCGCTCCGAGCTGCAAAGCAGCCGTTGGGTAACTTGGCTGGAGGGTGCTTCTGTGCCCGCCTGTTAACTGCGAGCAGAGCCGGCATTCATCCCCGTTTGAGGCAGTAGGGAACCGCCTGCGGTGCTGGGTATCGTCCTTTGCCCTGTGGCTTTAGTAGCAGCAGAGTCAGGCCCCGGTGCCGCCCTGGGGAACGCTGTCTCACCGACCTCCTTCGTCTCTCGTTTGGTTCTAGGTGGGAAGCCCGGCAGAAGCTCTTTTTGTATTTCTTTTGTATTTCAACAACAAAGCCCGTGTCAGGCATGGACTGCGCTCCTGTCGAGCGACTTCTGCCAGCCCAACAAACCAAACCTGAATAAAACTGGCTCTGGGATGCTCCTGCCTTCGGACTCATGGTTTGTCTTTTAGATGCTTTTTTTTTTTTTTTCAACCCGGCTTTCCCAAACCACATTGATACTGGCACGAGATCCACGTCCCTTGGGACGGGCCCCGTGTTTATCATAGATTTCCACAGCTGCGTGTCGCCCAGAAGCGTTTCAGTGCCACCTTGTGCCCTAGTGCAGCTAGGCTCTAGACAATAACCGCTTCCCGCCTCTTCCTGAGCCTGCTTTTATATCCCTCAATCCTTCATTACCAGCGCGTCCCCTCACCCTCTTTCTGGAAGGCTGTGCCCATTCTCATCCCGAGCCAGCAGCTTTGTGGCTCAGCAGCGCTCACGGCCCCTCGCAAAGCGGGAAGGGGCAGGGACCGCTCCGAGGTGGTTCACTTACCGCGTCGGCAGCGCGCGCTGGGGACCTCCTGCGCTAGAAATGGAGCTGACGGAAACGCCCGGTCCCGCTCTTCGGCCAGGCTGCGTGCTCCTGAGGGTGGCAGCGGCCGGGTGGACGTACCGTTCGGCCTGGGTGAAACGGCGCTTGCGGAACAGTCTCTGGGCAGGGTTCCCGGGTAACGCGCCGGTGTGGCTCCTCGGACGCAAAGCAAGAACACGGGTCTGGTGGGCACCACAGCGGGTGACGGGAGCTGTGTTTGTGGGGAATGAGGTTTTGGGAGGAATGCTTGAGAAGTACAGGCCAGAGTAATCTTGTAGCTGGATGTGCCCTTCAGTTAAGTAGTGAATTAACTGCTTTGCTTGTAAAAGAGGGGTTTGTTTATGGCATGCATAACTCTATTTTTGTAGGTAGCTTCGAATTTGTAGCCCAGCTTTCAAAGCAATTCGATTTCAGAATCAGAAATTCAACGGGTAGCTTACAGATTTAAAGGCCCGATTTCCTGTTCGGGAAGGAAGCTTTCCCTCCGCGGATGCTCTCGGATGCCTCTGGATCTGGCCCTGACCTCTGAGGCGTGAGCAGCGAGAGCTCTTTTTCATACCCGTTCAAAAGCACGCTGGGTAGCAGCGAGCAGCCGCAGGCCGGGGCCGTTCTGACCCTGCGTGGGCACGTCTGGAAGCTCCTGCTGATTAATGACACGGGGTTTCCTCCGTCTTGCGGGAAGCAGTTTTGTAGCTACTGAACTGAAAGACTTATTTCATAGCAAGGGAGGAATGCGCCAGGAGCCGTCCTTGGATACAAAGCAGTATTTATATATTTATTTATATGGGCATATTTACCTCTAGCATAAAACAAAGTCTAAATAAGCCAAACAAAAAAGTGGGGAATCCGGAGACTCAGCACTCAAAATTCAGCAAAATATAAATATAAATCAGAAAGGAAGGAGGGAAACCCCGCTCGTTCCCTACAAATAAAAACCGATAATCAATAATACCTGCTAAGAATGCAACTCTACAAACTTGCTGGCAATATACAGTGATTAAAGCTGTGACAGCGACATTTAAACCAAACAAATTAGTGCTTTACTTTTTTTTTTTCTCTCCTCCTTAATCCACGCAGTGGTGGCATAGTCTCTATTTACAGGCTTTAAGCTCTAACCGTAGGACAGAATGTTTGTGAATTTGCTCCTCCTTAATTCGCAGTGGTGGCATAGTCTCTATTTACAGGCTTTAAGCTCTAACCGTAGGACAGAATGTTTGTGAATTTGCTTTTGAAACAAACTCCGAAAACAGCCAGACTTTGGCAAGTGGCCTCGTTTCCACACTTGTCTTCCTTCCTGCCAAGAATGTCTAGAGAGATGAAGCGTCTCGTTTCCAGCGGAAAGAGAGGGTTTTCCCCCAGGCTGTACGGCTGGAGACATCGGCTCAGAGCTCCCTCCGTCTCATGCAGGGAAAGGCCTGATTGTTAACTCTCTTGTTACTGATTGGGGATGGGGGACACAGCTTCAGTTAGGGCAGAGACACCTTTTTTGGGGGGGGGGAGTCTATGTGAACAGCTGTTTCCGCAGGCTTGGAAGCAATCCTGGGACCCTTTAATAATTACAAAAACCCTTCTGAGCTCGTTTCTGCCTTGCTGTGCAGCGGCTGGTGGAACTGGCGTACGCTTTGTGATAAACTTTTAAGACAAAAGATACTATGGCAATGTAAGACGCTAAAAACTGCGTTCTGAGTCCCTCTCCTCTTCTGACACCAGGGATTGCTGCCAGCCCGGTGCTGCTCTGCTGTGAAACAGCTGTACGTGGGTAGGGCCGGCCTTCGCGCTTTAGGTGTTGGCTCATCTCAGTTCTTAAGCTAATTGGCCACTGTTTTTGAGGCACGCAGCATTTTACGGACGTGTGGGAAACCACTGTTCCCTCGTGCAGTCCTGTTAGCAGAAAAAGGCACTAGAGATGTTCCCGTAGCCCTTAGGCACTTGGTTTGCCAGGGGCCCTCATAAACCCCATGGCTAAGCATCGCAGGGACACCCGAGAGACTCCATCTCCTCTTGGGCCACCGCTGCTAGCGCGTTTCTAGCGGTTGATTGATTTCTCCCCTCCAGGAGAGGCTTTCCCCGCGAAATTTCTCGCGGCGGGGCGAGATGTACTCTTGGGTCTCGGCTGACCTCAGCCAGGACCACCAGCGAGGGGCTGGACTGGTGGTGGTGGTGACTGCAGGCAGCGCTTTCAGCTCTGGCCCTCGCAACACCACCCGTTACCTCTTCAGGGGCTAAAGGAACGCACAGGCGTTTAGCCCAGCTCGACAGTACAAGGGAAAACAGCGGGTCTGAGAAGGCTACCTCTCAGCTGAGCAGACGTCGAAGAGCACGTGGCATCGCTCACCTGAATAAGGACGTGCCAGACTGGGCCACTGATTGCCAAGTGGAGAATAAAAGCTGCCAAGAAAGTAACTTCCCAGTTTAAGGCCAAGCAAAAAAGCTCGGGGCGGGTGGAGGGAAGAGCACTGAGCCGCCTCTCCAGAGAGCTACATCGGAGGGTTTCCTTCCCAGTTGCAGGGAGAAACAGAGAATCCTGCTGAGCATGGAGCTGACCTGCTTGTGCGTAGGTACTCCCAAGCCTTGGGACCTCTTGCTTTCCCGCTGAGCTCCCCAAAGCCGGGTGAGGCCCCTAGCTTCGCTCCTGCTTGGCTGCTTACCCTGGATACGGTGACCTGCTCACCCACTGGTTCCTGCCTGCCCAGGCTTCAGTGCATTTTAGTAACTGGGGAGCTTCACCAATGTATAGTTAAGTGTTTGCTGCCTGTGGGCACGCAGTGGGAATGAAGACCTGCCCTTGAAACCGCCCTACAAATGAAGAGCCAGGTCCTTTGGCGGCAGAGACGCCAACTCCCAGCGATGTCACGAGGAACTGCAGGGCTACGGCTGCTTTGCTGGGACAAGCTCAGAAAGAAGTTCTGAGATGGGTGACAGGAGATAAAACTGCTCCCCCAGCCTGGGGAGGGAAGGCCGCGTAGGGTCCCACGAGACGTGCGCAGGAACCATCTCTCTAAGCTGGATAAAAAAACGTCTTTGCAGCTTGTTTCTCCGGAGCAGCAGAGCCAGCCACGCGCTCCTCAGCGCTGGTAACAACAGGGCCTGCAGCTGGCAAAGGGATTGCTGCATCTGTCTCCACTGAAGGCAACAAAACGCAGCAGCCAGAGCCCGATGCAGTTTCCCAAAACCAGTTTGGTTCGAGTTGACTACGCCCGGTGACGGGGCTGCAAGGGGCAAGGCGCGCTCTTCCCTGAAGCCAGCTTTAGAGCGTGCTTCGGGACTGGCGAGTGGCGTTTCCCCCTCGCCGCCCTTCCCCCGCGGCGGGGGCCCCGTTCCTTAGAGAAACGCAGCTCGGACATAAGAACCTGGCGGCGGCTCAGCCTCCAGGAACGCAGATGTCTCCTTTTTAGCAAGAGGCGCTGGAGCAGGACGGGGAGGAGGACGCGCGCGCGCTGGTCGGTCAGTCTGACGTGTCCCAGCACCGCTGTGGCAGTCAAGCTTTAATGTGGAGCTTAGCAGTGGCCCCCTTTGGTTTCCTATGCGAGACACACGTAGCTCAATAGGGACAGAATTAAGAGACCCATTTTTATACGGCTTAAAAAAAAAAAAAAAATATTCAGTAGTTTAGCAAGTTAAGAACTTGTAACAGTAGAACACCCAAAATACACTCAACATAACTGCTTTCCGAGAACAGTGACGGCAAGGGCCCACAGTCGCTGCCATTCCCCGCTTTGTGGGAGAGGATCAGCCTCTTCAGTGCCTGGCAGAGATCCGATAGCCAGGGCGTGCAGCGAAGCCACATCACGCGCCCCCAGCAACTCAGCCTTGCTCCGCAGGGCGCACCGGGCTTTGCCAGTGGTCTCTCTTCTGCACATCTGGGCAGAGGTGGCTGCATTGACTTGAGAGCCGACCAGGCAGCTCCACACACACACTGCGAGAGGCCACACGCTGCCGCCAAATGAAAAAAAACCGGGTCCCACGACACTTAATGCAGGTGACTCACGGTAATTTTTCTCCCATGGGTTGATGGCAAGTGTCCCCACACGTGGTTTGGCCTGGGCACAGCCTCAGCAGCATCTCGAGTTTATCCATCCAGACCTGGATACGGTGAACGTTAGAGTACAGTGAGGAGGGGGACAGACAGGGCTGACGTTGAAGCTGCACCTTCTCTTGTTGTCCACAGAGGACAGTCCGTTCGCGGGTCCGGGGGTCTCCGGGGGTCTGTGGAGTGGGGCTGCGGGGGATGGCCCTGGGCCAACTAGAAGGAACAGCAACTCCAGTGTACGACTTCCAGTACGTCCAGGCACAGCCTTCCTTTCCAGGCCAAACTCCAGCGTTTTGCTCTTGGAAAGGGCTCCAGTGTTGAGCAATTCCAGTGTTGTGAAGAACTGATGTGGCACATCTGGGACCACTGGGCCAGTACAGGACTGGGACGCGGCAGACCCGTCCACATTCAGTCCAGTGTAATGCTTTCAAATCCAGTGTTGCGAGGGGAGGGAGAAGTGACGGCGGACGCAAGCGTCCCCGTAAGGGAAGGAGAGAGACGTTTGGGGCGGCGTGGGACGGTGGGAGTCGGTGCGAGGTGAGCCCAGGAGATACCACAGGGCTGGTTGCGTTTCTGTGGCTTAGGTCCTATGTTCTGCGTGTGCTGTGCTTCGGTGCCTGTGTCACCAGCCACAACCAAACCAGCTCCACGCCCCAGGCAGGAGACGGGGGTAAGGTGGGGCTGGGGGCTAGTGGAGGAGGGTGTACAGGAGTCTTCCCCAGTGTCACCAGTCCCCCTCCTCTCTCCAACCAGAGGGCACTGGTGCTGCCAGGACTCACTCACAGAGCCAGTAAAACTGAAAATAATAGTCAGTGAAAAGGTGTCCCATCTGCTCGGGAGCAGTGCTGCAGTTGGCTCGGCCCTGTGAGAGAGCGAGAAAAAAAAGCTTACAGACAGGGGTAGGACGCATGCTCCGAGAGGGAAATTGTGCATGAATTACGTGCTGGGGCAGAGAAAAATCATACCCCCACTACCCCATGTAACTGCGGAAGGCAACAGCCACGACGGAGAGGGCTGTGGAAGGCTCTCAGCGCAACGTGGCCGCTAAACCTGCCGTGGTCCCGTTGCTCTCCTTCCGCTCAGCCCTGGACAAGAGGAAAGACAAAGCAGCTGCTGGTACTCACAGGCTGTGCTACTCTGAAGTGGTAGGCAAACTCCCGGAAAGACATCATCACGAGAGGCCAACGGTGCGTTGTTTCCTGGGGAAGAAAACAGAATAGCTACGATGAGATCGGGGCTGAGCATCAGGGGACGTTCTCCCAGGCCAGACTGGCAAGGAACCACGCAAGCCTGTACTGTCGAGTGGGGGAGCAACCTCTCCAAGGTCAGCGACAGAGCTGGACCGAGAGGGGCAAGGAGGCGCTCGAGGGTAAGAAGGGTCTGATGCAGGCGCCGCGCATGCAGACCTGCAAAATCCTCCTGAAGGGATTTCATTAGGACGCGTTACGGCAGCTCACAGCCTGGTCTTTTCCCCACAGTCCTGGTGCTCATGCAGAGGGGTGGGATGGGATGATTTCATATGAGTGACCACGTAACAAGTGATAGGACAAGAGAAAACGG